GGATATTCTGGAAAGATTACCAGCTGGCTTGTCATGTATTATGAAAAGAATAACATTTGCCTTAGAGGATGCTACAAGCCAGGAGCAGGACCCCGGGGAGCAGCGTGACAAATTTTCGTGGCGCTCGGCGATGAACTTGCCACAGTTCTTTAAGAGAATTGACGTGCCTTCGCCTCTAATTTGGGGAGAGGGGAAATGCTGTCGGAAACTTTATTTATCTCCTGTGGAGGGGAGGAGGAGGGAGTCCAAATACCTTCCTATGACGGGGATTGTGTGAAAGGAGCAGAATTGGAGCTTTTCTGCTCTGCATTACCCACCCTGGGCTCTTCCTTCTGCTCCCACCTTGCAAGGGGGGAGCAAAACCCCTTGGCCCAAGGCTGGTTTTGGCTGCAGGGCGAGGGCTGAGCACTGCAAACGTCCCCGGTGGAGGGGAGGAGGAGGGAGTCCAAATACCTTCCTATGACGGGGATTGTGTGAAAGGAGCAGAATTGGAGCTTTTCTGCTCTGCATTACCCACCCTGGGCTCTTCCTTCTGCTCCCACCTTGCAAGGGGGGAGCAAAACCCCTTGGCCCAAGGCTGGTTTTGGCTGCAGGGGGAGGGCTGAGCACTGCAAACGTCCCCGGCAAAGCGTGCAGCTTCGTGCACGGCTCCGGCGAGGGAGACTGCCGAGAGCTGAGCATCAGTCCCAGGAATGGGTGCGGGATGGGAGCTGCCGGCTTCCCTGTGCCGCTGGCGTGGGGGGTTTCTTTCTAAATCGCTAGGGAGGAAAATAAATATGGGTCCGGCCAAAATAACCTGCGTTTGGGCTTGGGTGAGTTTTGTTTGCAGGAGGAAGGGGAGGGAGAGGCGGTGCCGGTTGCGTTATTGCTATTTATTAGTGTGCGACGTGTAGAAGAGCATGGCGGTGCCCAGGAGTCCCGTCTTCTCGTGCTTGAATTAACCCAGCTGAAGAGGCTGACCTTGCCCTGGAAACTTGCAGCCTGTCGGGAGGCTGTAAGTGGGTCAGGCAGCTGGGGTAAGTGGGAAAATAATCCAGTTCACACCACTGGCAGCCTGTCGGCGGGCGAAAGCCGAGTGCGACCTGCGCGCCCAGCCGCGGGAGGCAGCAAAAAGAAGGTATCGAGTGCGCGGGCGGCTCTTGCCAAACCCCTGGCTCTGCGGGGTGATGCTGGGGTCCCCAAAGGACCAGGGAGTGCCCAGAAGAGGCTCAGTTGCTCCCCAGAAGATGGTTGCATCGGTGGCTGTGAAACCCCATCATCTGGAAAAAGCCCCAGTCAGGGATGGCTGGAAAGTCTCCAGGAAAGCACTGCGTTCCCACATGGAGCATCCAGTGCTCCGGTCCAGCCCCGAGCAGCTGTGCTTTATTCCCTCTTCTGTCCTTTCCCCAGTACGTAGCCCGGGAAAGTGCCGTGGCCTTCTGGCTGCGGGCTCAGCAGCAGCATCTCTGCTCCTCCCCAGCACTGCCTGCGTTTTGGTGGTACCTGCCCCACCCCGCAACTCCCTTAGTGCACTCGATCGGGTGTGATGAAAAGTGCTGGGTGGATGTCAGGTATCCCTTCTGCTTCATTCAATCCCTGCTTCATTTGTTCCTCCACTTGATTTGATCAAAACCTTCTGAAAACAAATCATCCCTACTTAAAAAAAAAAAACCAACCCCATAGTTTCTACCCTTTATTTTCATCAGTTCCTATGGCGTTAGGCCAGTAGTGTTGGATGATTCAATCACCGGTTGGACAAAGATGACATTTAATTAAGAAGGAAAGAAAAGGAAGCTAAAGAAAATAATGTATGCCTCCTTTCTATATGAAGTGTGGGGGGAAAAAAAGAGCTGAGGAGATTTTCTGTTGTGAAATGCAAGGTCTCATCTACAGTGTCAGCAACTTGGCTGCTTCGCAGCAATTCCTCCCTGTGATCGAGATCCAGCCTGGGCCACAATTCAGCCTCGTGTCTATTCATTTAATGACTGAGTCAATTTGGAAAACTGCTGCCCATCCATCTGTCCACCTGGTCCATCTGTCCATCCTCTTCTACATCCTTCCCATTTCTTTATCCTTCTATCTCGGTGATTCGCTTCATCCCAAGAAAAATCCCCGGAGCGTCGCGTGGAAAGCCTGGGTTTGTGTCAGCAGAGCCAGATTACACCGATACACCTGGGAATAACTGGGCTGCCATCGCTCCTTGTGCTTTTTCTGCGCGCTACGCCGAGCAGCGAGACAAGATGAGAAGGAGTAACCAAGCCAGTCATCCATCGGGTTAGGAGTGGAAATCAGCTCCTCTGCCCCTCTTGTCCCTTTTTTTCCTGCTCCCCCAGCCGAGTCTGGCAGGAGGGCAGGCAGGGCCTGAGCATCTCAGCCCCCCGGGGTCTTTGCGAAGCTTCTTTTTGCTTTTTGCCTTCTCAGCTGCAAAAGAAGAAAGGAAAACGTAACCCCCAACCTCAGGCATTTTAATTGCGCTCTAAGCTTTAACATTTCAGGGGGAAAATAAAAACGAGCAGTGAAATTTTACAGTCGTGTAATGACGCCGGGAGCAGCGTGGCCAAATGGGGTTGTGAAGTTTATGGTGTGCTCTGCCAGTCGAGCGGCACTTGGAAAGGGCTGGGGAGGTGGGGAGCAGGAAAGGATGGAGAGACGAGGGTCCCACGCTCGGGGGCTCATCCCCAGTGGGGGGGTACCCACCCGCAGGCAGGCACCACCCCCCCTTGCCTGTGACCCTCCTGCAGGCTGGGGCAACCGTCGGCGAGAGGAGAAGTTGCACCTCCTGAGTCTAGATCTCATTTAGATCTCCTCTCTCTATCCCGTTTATCCTCTTCTCTTGTCTTTATGGGTTTTTTTGAATGTTGCTCCTTGCTGCTGCGTTGCTCTGTGCTGGGACCGGCGGTGAAATCCCCTCCCTCTCCCTTTGCTCTTTGCACCCAGGTCCCGGCTGGCCGATTTCCACACCAACTGCCAAGCATCCTTCCAGTCCCTGACCAGCTGCCCCGGGGACAACTACCAGGCGTGCCTGGGCTCCTACGCGGGGCTCATCGGTGAGTGCCGGGGGGTCGGGATGGCGAAGGGTCTCTCCCACCGTGACCCCTCATCCTTCTTTCTTCTCCTCATCCCTCTTTTTTCTCCTCATCCGGGAACAGGCTTCGACATGACGCCCAACTACGTCGACGCCAGCACCACCAGCATCACCATCTCGCCCTGGTGCTCTTGCAAAGGCAGCGGCAACCTGGAGGAGGAGTGTGAGAAGTTCCTCCGAGACTTCACGGAAAACCCCTGTCTCCGTAAGGCGCTTCCCCGTCCCCCTCCTCACCCTG